ATGCCATCCGTGAACAAAATATGGCTGTGTCAACGGCGTGCAAACAGTTTAAAGTGCCCCGGACTTCGGTGCGAAATAGATTGTCAGGTAAAACTTCAGATAACTGTAGAAGAGTTGGCCCAACTGCAGTACTTGGGTTAGAAGTTGAAAAAAAAATGGTGAAGTGGATTCTTCATCGGGCGGCAAAAGGGTTTCCGATTAATCGAGAAGGTCTTCTATATTCGGTAGAAAAGCTAATAGAAGAATTTAAAATACCGACTCCCTTCAAGAATAATGTTCCTGGAGACAAGTGGTTTAAGTCTTTCCTAGTTAGAAACCCGGAAGTATCTATATAGGAAACATTCGGAATACATAAACCAAGCATGAGCGGCTGTTACGGAGGCAAAAATTAGGCAATCAAAAAAAGGTCCTGACATCGAAATCCTGAACCACCCAAATAGAATTTTTAACCTGGATGAAACAGCGATTTTTTGATCACCTACAGGCAATTTAGTCCTAGGGGCAAGAAGGAAAGGTGTCTATGACGTTACTACTTTTGCTACTACCTCTGAGAAAGATAATGTAACAACCCTGATGGTTGCCAGCGCAAGTGGTCAATTTGGTCCTCCTTTAACATTATTCAAGTTTCAACAACTTCATAAGCAATATGTTGCAGCGGCACCAAAAAATTGGGGAATTGGCATCTCTGATTCCGGCTGGATGCAAAGTAAACAATTCTATGAATACTTTGCAGATATCTTCGTAAAATTTTTGGACAACGAGCAAGTTAGTCGTCCAGTTATTGTTTATAGACGGACATGCGTCCCATCTATCACTTGATCTTAGCAACTTCTGCCGTTTAAATGGAATTGTTTTAATCTGCTTGCCCCCAAACACCACCCATATCCTACAACCTCTGGATGTCGCATTTTTCCACCCACTGAAATCAACTTGGAAGAAGCTAACAAAAAAATGGCAAATTGAAAATGGTGGCAAAACTGTAACGTTTTTAGTTCGTTACATGTTTTTATATATGATATATGATGTCTGGCGTATCGTCACTGGGTTCCGTATCGTTCAGGCGTGATAACTTATTTGAAACACTTGGCGTAGTTCTAACGTTCTCAAGTCGACAACTCTGTTATCGTTTCACTGCTTCTGTGGAGGGCTGTCAACATCGCTTCAATCGCCTTCAGTTGGCAACATCAAGATTTAAATACCAACTTAAAATATTGTTTAATAGCGCCGCTCGTGAGTAATTGGAAAAGTAGAGAGTGCTCAGGATCTGGCGCGACTGAAACGACATCGCAGGCAATTGAAATATGCCGCGCGGGTCGCGCTCATCGCCCTCTGTTGTCGCACGCGTCGCACGCTCGCTTTTGTCTCCCACGTAGGACGAAGCCATAGTCGCTAAATATAGTCTCCATTTAGAAATTGCTTCGCTTAAAAATGCGATGTTGCCAAAATTATTTTGTCTTCCCGAAATTTAATATTGTTTTTGTTTAGTTGCAGTGGCCTTCGGAAACGAAAGAGAAATATTGAAAACCGACGACCGTTGTCCCACAATGATCTAGAATTGTATGCAAATGAATCAGAGGAATTAAGTGATTACGATTTCTCAGGCGACAACGATATCCGAGATCGTACGTATAATCCTGATAAGGATTCAAACAGTTCTAGTTCTGCCGGAGGTATAGAAAATGGTCCAAATGACGATTTTGTAGACATCGATTTACCTGATGATGCCGATCAAGCTGGGACGACAAGAGCAGACTCCAATGACGAAGAATGGACCGATACAGAAGAAGAGCCAACAGAGTTTCCATTTACTGACATGAAAGAAATAAATGTCAATGAACTGCCGCCGGATCCATGTCCGATTGATTACTTTATGTTATTTTTTGACAAGGATATTTTGGAGAAAATTACGAAAGAAACTAATAGAAGGGCCAATACATTATTATACAATATTACTTCTAAAAAAAACAAGGTCAAGCAGAGAAAAGAAATGGCGAGATATTTCGATCCACGAAATGCGAAAATTTATTGGTTTGTGTTGTCTTGCTCGCACCGTTAAATTTCCACTTTTAGCTAAGCACTGGAGTCACCATCCTTTGTACTTCATTCCCATATTTGGAAAAACAATCTCCAGAAATCGGTTTCAAATGATTTTAAAAAACCTTAGATTTGTAGACCAAGTTATTCAAAGTTCGGCCTATTTTAAAAAAAATACTGCAAAATTGTAAACAAGTCTTCAGCCCTAGACAACACTTGTCAGTTGATGAAGCTATGATTGGTTGGAAAAGTCGATTATCATTTCGGCAATATATATCAAATAAGGCAATATATATCAAATAAAGCCATAAATATGGCATAAAATTGTACGAGCTAACAACGGATGATGGCTTTGTTCTAAACATTATTGTTTACACGGGAAAGGGAACATTAATTTCCGAAAATTTCACACATTCTGAAAGTGTAGTAAAAGAACTGATGAAAGATTATTTAGAAAAGGGTCATACAGTGTACCTTGACAATTTTTACACCAGTGCCAGTGTCTCGTTGGCTGAATTTTTACATAAACGAAAAACGGCCATGGTAGGAACCTTGCGGGAAAATAGAAAAGGAAATCATATGAGAACTATGAAAGCCAAGCTAAAGAAGCAGTTTGGAAAAGAAAGGGGCCAGTTTTACTCACAAACTGGAGGGACAAAAGAAATGTTAGGATGATAAGTACTGCTCATAAACATTCCATGAACGGAATTCAAGGCAAAAAAGCTAATAATAAAAAAATAAAACCGGGATGCGTAATCGATTATAACAAACACATGTCGGGAATCGACCGATCAGACCAAATGATGGCTTACTATTCTACCCCTCGTACAACCGTTAGATGGTATCGTAAGATATTTTTCCATTTGATCGATTTGTGTGTTTGGAATGCTTGCTACATTTATAATTTGCATCAAAACAAAAATATCAGGCTTTTAAACTCTCGGGAAAAAGTTAATCAATCAGACAATTTGCAAGTAGAAGATGAGATTGAAACTAAAGAGAAGTTCCACTTTTTAGAGTCAAATCCTCCTACAGAAAAGGAAAAATGCACAATGAAGAGATGCCGTCAGTGTACAAAAACAAATGTGCAAAAGAAAACGAGATATTTTTGTCAAGTTTGTCCAGATAACGCCGGTTTATGTGTTTCTCCCTGTTTTAAAAATTGGCATGGTCTTCTTCTTTTAGAGCGAATCCATTAATGGATGTTTGCTATAACATTTTCCATTGCTTTTCTATTCCTGGCGGTGTTTATTAACGACTGTACATCGTGTAGGCCTGTCCACTGTCTAACATTCCTCAGCCAGGACATTTCCTTCCTTCCGATACCCCTCCGGCCTTCGATCTTGCCTTCGATTAACAGATGCAAGAATTGATATTTGGGGTTTCGCATTATGTGCCCCAGGTATGCAGTTTTTTTCTTCTTAATCAATTCAAACAATTCGCGCTGTTTGTTGACACGCCTCAGAACTTCCTCATTTGTTAACCTAGCCGGTGTTATCGTATATCGATATAGCACTAAATATGCCCCTCCCTACTTATAATTCAAATTTGGCGCCTTGCCTTCACGGAAAAAGCGGAAAGGAAGTAGGAGGAGCCTAACGACTCGCTTCGAGGACGACGACGCGCCAAGAGGTTCGAGGCCTGTCGAGGTTGAAAAAATGTGCGAAATAAATAGTTTTTATTGAAACTGTTGTGTCTCTCAATAAATCAAAAACCACGAAAAGCATTTTCGTATACATGGCGCCCAACAGCGTGGAGCCGAAGCTGGAGAATTGCTGCTAACAAAATGGAATCGTTCAAGGTTGTCGACGAGACGCCCGAGCTTCCCAAGAACAAGAATGGCGGTGATTTTCTGGACTTTTCTGTTTTCGGAAAGCAGAGTTCCCACTCCCAAAACCCTTTCAAAGAATCAACGGACAGCAGTGACCAGTTGAGTCAATCAGACGTAGATTTGACCAGTAAAAAATATAATAAGACTCCAACAACAGAACAAATCTTACTAAACGTAACCAATTCTTTCACTGAAGCATTAAAACTGTTCCAGCAATCAACATGTAACACTCCTAAGACAAAATTTACCCACAATTTTACTGGTCTTGGCCACGAGAACCCCATATACTTTGTCGATGCTTTAGAAAGGTATTTTAAAGAAAACCACATAACCGATGAAGAAAAAGTATCTTTTACTGTGTCTAGGCTAAATGGTGAAGCAAAAAAGTGGTACGAGCCTTACATCTGCCTTAATTTAACATGGAAAAACTTTGTAGATCGCTTTTATGAGAGATTTAATAATATATTGTTAACTGCACAACTTACCTCTCAGTTGTATGGCGAAGGTCAAGCACAACATGAACCAGTAGGCATCTTTATATCCAGGAAGATCGCTTTATTTTCCAGACTAGAGCCAACCCGACCTGACAACCTTAAGGCAGCGATCATCATGGAACTGTTAAAACCTACGATCAGATCCAGGCTAAGAACATATCCGACTTCAATGAACTGTGAACAGTTAATTGGGGCTGCCACAGCAGTGGAACGAGACGTGGATGAAGAACATAAGAAGTCTTTTTAAAATTGTAAATGGAGTAAGTACACAATCGCATCTTCCTAGAATAAAAATTAAAATTCATAATAAAATTATTTTCGCACTTTTAGATTCTGAAGCTAGCGTAAATCTTATACATCCAAATGTTTTTCCTAATGTTAATTATAACAAAAGTAACCAAGATTTTATTTTAACTTATTATGACATCTAAGTTCAGTCGTCAGGGCAAATTAATCTAAATTTTGATATAGACTCTATTTCTTGTAGTAGTAACTTTCAAATTCTTGACACACTCCATGAAAATTGCATTTTAGGAGAACCTTTCTTACAAAAATATCAAGTCCTAGATTTTCATAGAAAAAGTGCATATATCCGCGTTCAAAATAGAAAAACTGTATACTGGCAAGTTCCTGAAAAAATCATGTCTACACCAATGATTGTATTACCTCTTTTGTCTAAATTAAAACAACTTCCAGATCTCTCTGCTCTTATTGAAGAATATGTAGATATCTTCAATTATGGCTTACATCAACCCAAGACCAAAACGGTGCAGCATGAAATCCATTTAAGTGACCCTCATAAAAAAATTATGTTGAAACCGTACTCTTTAAATCCACATCTCAAAGAGGTAATGTACGAACAAGTCGATGAGATGCTTTCTGCTGGTGTCATAGAGCCATCTACATCTTCCTACTGTTTCCCAGTCGTCATGGTAAGTATAGACGGAAAAAAGCCACGTTTCTGCGTAGACTACCGCCAGTTGAACCAAATAACCATAGAGGAGCCATCCATCCTACCCAAAATCTCTGATACACTCAAAGATCTAGGCAATGCCACTATTTTCTCAGTACTTGATCTAAAATCAGGATATTGGCAAGCCCCATTGCATCCATCATCCAAGCAATATATTGCTTTTTCTACCCCTGAAGGAGCCCTCTATCAATTCACAGTCATGCCCTTTGATCTAAGGAACGCCCCTGGGGCATTCCAAAGGCTGATGACAAACGAAGTCCTTTGTGGATATCTAAATAATTTCGATGAAGTTTATCTAGATGACATTATAATATATAGCCCAAATTTAGAAACGCATACTTACCATCTCCGCTTAGTATATGAACGATTAAGAATCCATGGTCTTCGAATTTCGCCAGAAAAATGTCAAATTGCTACTTCTGAAATAGACTACTTAGGACATCATATATCCGGAAATACCATACTACCTCAGAAAAAACATATTCTTGCCATTCATGATTTCCCTACTCCTAAGTCAAAGAAACAACTTCAGAGTTTCTAGAGTACCTGTAATTGATCTAAGCCCTTACTTTTGCATAGACCTGATTTCTCAAAACAATTCTATCTCCAAACTGATGCTTCGTCACATGGTATGGGCGCAGTTTTGTTTCAGATGGACTCTGACAACTCTAGACAAATTATTTCTTACATAAGTGCTCACTTCACTCCCGCTGAAGCAAAATACCATTGTAATGAGCAGGAATGTCTGGCAATAATTTGGGCCATACGTAGATATCGTCCTTACTTGGAAAATACTGTCGCGACCCCGTTTTAGAGGGTTGCGGCTAGGGACGTTTTAGGTATCGAAGATCATTAAAACAATCAATATATATAAAAACAAAATATAAATTTTAAAGAAAAAGAATTAAATACATTAATTTAGGTAGGAGAAATGTCAAGTAGAATACCTTTTGACCAATAAAATATACTTAGAGAAAATATATAAAAAATATAAACTTACTTTACTGTCATTATGATACTTGGAGAACTCAACTCAACTGACCAGCATGACTTCATCATTCGTTCTCCCCGAGAGAGCCCTCGACTCTCCTCTGATTTTCTTTTTAATTATTCTCCCATATTGATATTTACAACAATAAGAATTAAACAAAGTTCACCTTCAGATCTTAGTATGACGTCAACTTGTTCTAGTTTAATTTTCATTGTGCAAATATTATGTTTATAGAAATATATTTTATTTAATATACTGGGTGATTTATTTTAATGATAAATACTTAAATTCTTGCTCTTGACAATACTAAGTTTGTACTTATTTCTGATTCTAAAGCTTTGCTCTGGTTGGACAGATATAAGGATTCTAAATCAAAACTTACCCGATGGGCATTGTTATTGCAGGAATATTCTTTTGATTTGAGACATTGTGCTGGAAAGGACAATGAACTCCCTGATTTTCTGAGCCGTAATCCCGAAAACAAGACTTTCAACATTCAAGATATTGACAATGAACGATTATTACCACCAGGTTCTAACTCTAATATCACAGGTCCAGAATGTGTACAAGTAAATAACATCTCCCACATGAACTTGTTCGAAAATGTAGCCAACGCTCAACGTCGTTCACTCCCTTTGCGTAGAAAAGTATCCAAATGGAAGCGTATCCATTTTAAAAGTCACAAAAACTTGTCCGAACAAAGATTTCTTGACTCCTATGCAGTCCATGAAGAAGAGGATCTTCTCTATAAACGCTGCCGGTTATCTGAAAAACTTGTGGTTCCCCGAGCTTTTATTCAAGCAGTTATTGCATTTTTCCATGACAATTCCGAGAACGCTCACCCGGGAAGGGACGATACTGCCCGTCAAATATCTCGAAGATATTATTTCAAAAACCTCCATAAAACTGTTGGTAAATATATAAATAACTATATTACTTGTGCTTCCATCAAGAAACGACAGTTTCAAAAGAAAGCCCCTCTTGAATCTCATGCTCCTGAGTACCCCTTTCAAATGTTGTCTGTAGATATTTTAGGTTATTTTAGGTCCTTATAACACGAGTCGTAGAGGAAAGAAATATATCTTATATGTAGAAGATGTCGTTACTAAATGGGTCGAAGCCGATGCTTTTTCTGAAGTCGATAGTAAAACTATTATAAAATTCCTGAAATACGAAGTATTTTCTAGATTTGGAGTTCCTCAAACAATTATCTCCGATAATGGTCCCCAATTCCGATCAAAAATTTACAAAAAATTTAGCCAAGACTACAATTTCAATCTCTTATTTGTTCCTATATATCATCAGCAGAGCCGCCCTGTAGAAAGACGGAATCAAGAATTGAAGAAGGTTCTACGGACATTACTTTTAGATAAACCTGAAAAACACTGGGATGCCTATTTACCTGAAGCTTTGCGTATCCTGAGAACCCGTAGAAATGCTGCTACCGACGTAACTCCTGCTATGGCACTATTGGGATATGATTTACCTGGTGCTGGTGAATGGAATTTACCCAGTTATAAATCTGAAAGAGATTTAGCAGAGTCCAAATCCTGCGAAGAACGAATTCATAATATTAAAATCCATCAAGATGAAAAAGATATATTAACGAGACAGAACTACCTCCAGTCATTCTTAATGTGGGAGACACAGTTATGATCAAGGAGTTTCGCCAAACCACGGAGTCTTTCGCCCCAGTATGGAGTGGACCTCATGAAATGGTTAGGAAGAGAAGTGACCTTGTGTACGATGTACTAAGAGATGGACAGCCGATGATCGTACATGTGAATGACATTAGACTTGCCCCTTCAGGCAATTGCCCCGATTATGACACGTCCAGTTCAGAAAATGGCTCTTCTGAAGATTCAGAACCTGAAACCCCTGCTGACGAGGACCCGCCACCAAGTTTCGATGCCGTCCCTGAACTTAGTTTAGCTCAATCCGATTCTCAGATAAACTCAGACGAGGTATCTAGTTTCCCCTCCTTAGAGCCTAGGTTAGAGAGAAGAAATCGTCGGTTGGATTATCGACATTTTCCTAGAAATTATGCTGTTTTGGATAAAGCTCATAGTTCTATAAGCTCTTGTACCTCACCACCTTCTCCATCAAATTCGAATGTAACCCAAACGTATCTTAACTCGTCTATTAGACGTCGAACAGTAAAACCAAGGACTTGTACACTTAGTTGTTGCGCTTGATAATGGTTATTACCAACTTTATTAAACTTACCTACCTTACTACAGAATCTAAACATATTTCACACAAATCTAACAAAAGGAAGATTTGATTTGTACTTATTTTCATTTTTAAGTTTTCCATTCATTTATTTATGTTTTAAGAATTATTTTGAATTTTGTACTCTGTATTATCATTATTTTTAGAAGACATAATTTAATCTTTTCTGTTACTTTACTAGAGTTATTATTTATTTATTTTCATTTGGTTCATGTAAAATTTGTATTTTTGCATTGATTTATGTAAAATTTTAAATTATTGTTTTAACCGTCATGGCAACGCTTTTTTCAAACTGGGGGGGTGTTATCGTATATCGATATAGCACTAAATATGCCCCTCCCTACTTATAATTCAAATTTGGCGCCTTGCCTTGACGGGAAAAGCGGAAAGGAAGTAGGAGGAGCCTAACGACTCGCTTCGAGGACGACGACGCGCCAAGAGTTTCGAGGCCTGTCGAGGTTGAAAAAATGTGCGAAATAAATAGTTTTTATTGAAACTGTTGTGTCTCTGAATAAATCAAAAACCACGAAAAGCATTTTCGTATACACCGTCCAAGGTATCTTCAGAATTCTGCGATATAGCCACATCTCGAAAGCCTAGTTTATTATTTATTGGCATGATGCCATAAATAAATAAAAAATAATGTTCATTTGTAATAATTAGAGTAACAGTTAAGTTTCGTTATTATGTTGTATTCATACCAAATATGTATTCTTTTATTTCTTTTGAATAAACTAATGAATAAAATTATAATTTTTGAAATAATATTTGTATGTCCAATTAAATGGACAGCGGCATATACAAGGGAAAACTATGTCCATAGCCCGCTGTCCAGTTTACTGGGCAGCTACAGTACTGCTGACCTTGAATATGACAAAGGTCACTTAAGAAGACCATTTCCTTACATTTGGCGTCCAAAAAAATATATATAAACCAAAAGTTAAAGTTGGTTGCCCAGAGCCGCAAATGCATTTTCACCGTGGCACTCAACGTGTTAAGGCAAAACCTTTGCAGGATTTTTTCTTGTGGAAAAAAATAATTCCAAAGCAATACCTTCAAAAAATAGCACATTTGAAATTCACGAGGAGTGAAAATGTGTTGTATTACAAAAATTCCTTTTCAGAAGATTTCACATCTCTGAATTTTTTGACTGCTCTAGTGTATAAGAAAGGAATTTCAAATCCTCAGTGTAAAGATAAATGTAGGGGCATATCTTTAGAAAGAAAAAATAATTTAATTTTAAAATTACGACCAATTATTCCTGCAAACCGAATGACTTTTTGGGAACAAATTGCCGCTTCTGAAACTAATGTTGAATCAGATTTAGATTAGGCCAATTTGTTAGTATTTGTATAACAAATGTTACAGTTGAGGGTTGGAATCTTTGGTGTTACACAGCAAAATAAAAACACTAAATCACCACAATACACCAAAACACTTTTACTTTTACAGTGGACGCGCGTTTCGCTAACCATGTTAGCATCATCAGCAGATGATTATAAACTGAGTCAGTTTATAATCATCTGCTGATGATGCTAACATGGTTAGCGAAACGCGCGTCCACTGTAAAAGTAAAAGTGTTTTGGTGTATTGTGGTGATTTAGTGTTTTTATTTAACAAATGTGTTTTTAAATTAAGAAATCTATTTTATTAAAAAAGCGTTTAAATATACATTTTATTAAAAGCGTTTAAATAAACACCGTTCAAAATGTAAAACCATTTTAAATGCCTAAGTAAAAATGTCCTATCTGATTTTTTTTTAATTTCTCAAAAAATTAGACAAATTTTTTGTCCATTTATTATTATTAAATAAATAATCTTGTTATATCCACTTAATAATATGGTTATGCCCTCCTAATAAATGTATCCTCTTAATCTTGACATTTCCAGAATACACTGTGAAGTGTCAGCAGTTAAAACTTATAAATTCTCCATTGCTTGGGCGTACCTTTTAAGTCTTTGTTGATACGTTTCAAGAGTATATTGCTAATGTGTCAATAAAGCTTCACCGTCGTAAAACTGAGTTTTTTTAAAAACAAAAGCACCACAAAAAGGACTTTAACTGGCGCAGTCGGTAGGATCCGCAAAACTTAACAAACGAAGTTGGCGGAGGATTTTTGCTGGACGGTTTAGAGAATATAAGTCCGGTTCGGTAAACGATCTACCAGCAGAAAATCGCGAGTGTTTTTGTGACAAAAGAAACCAGTTGGAGACAACAAGACCTGAGAGAATCATCAAGAGAATATTGGTATCTGGGGACAAACTCGCCCTGTTTCTCAAGGGCAACCTAGGATAAGCTAGCAGTAAGGAAACAAGAAAAAACAAAGAAGAAGCAAACAACAATGAAAAACCTGATTATCCTGTAAGTACACCAATCCTATAAAAATCATATTTTTCATAAAACTTATAAACAAAAATCGCGTCAATTGATTTTTTTCATAGATTTAAGAAACTTTATTTTTAAGACAATTATTTTTAAGAATTCTTTTACTTTAATATTAAGAAACAAAATAAATAATTTTCTTTATCTGTATATAAACTCTAATGAACTCTGACAGCGACACAGATACTGAACTAAGCAATCTTTCATATCGCCTTAAAAAAGCAAAATTTTCAAATCAACCCAAAACTAATCTAAATTCTGTAAATTCTGAAAATAGTAATAATTCAAATTCAAATATGGCGCAACCAAACGTAAATTTTCAATTACTAAAACTTTATGTAGACACGATTCCCACGTACGATGGTAACCCACATACACTTTCAATATTTTTAGACAACTGTACTAATTTTGTTAACACCTTTTATAAAGAAAATGATCAAGTAATAAATAATTTCTTAACAAGAGCAATTATTGGTAAACTAGTTGGTAGAGCTTTAAGTTTAGTAGGCACGCGAAGTCAAGAACTAAAATCCTGGCTAGACTTAAAAAACGCACTCCAATCGAATTTTGGTGATCAAAGAAATTTAGACTGTTTAGAACAAGATTTAATAATTTTAAGACCTAACAAAAATGAATTACCGTATAATTTTGGTATGAGATGCCAAGTTGCACGATCATTGATTATATCTAAATTAAATTCTACTAACTTAAGTCATGATGAAAGAGTATTAAGAATCCATAATATCGAACAACTTTCATTAAAAACGTACATACGCGGATTAACAGGACAATTACAAAATAATATTAGATTAAGAAACCCTATAACATTAGAAAATGCGATGTCATTAGTAATTGAAGAGGAAAATTTCTTGTATTGTCAAGGTAGAAACAATTCTTTAAACATACAAACATATAAACCAACACCATTAAGAGTTATTCCTAATCAATATAATAATAGACCAATAAATTATCAAAATCAATCACCAAATAATCCAGGCAACATTTTTTCTTCACCATTTAATCAAAGACAAAATCTTTATAATCCACAAAATAATATTTTTAGACAACCTGAGCCAATAAGAAATAATTTTAACCAACCAAATCAATTTATGAGACCAAATTATCCTAATAAATAATTTCCAAAATAGACCAATGTTTCAAAATCAAAATAATTTTACTAGAAATCCTAATTCATTTTCAAATAGACCTCAATTCCAAATAAAACGACCAGCACCGAATTGTAGCAATAGTTTTCCTAATCAAAATAATAATTTCCAACGATCTAATAATTTTAATCAAAATAATAATCGACCTGAACCGATGGACACCTCATCCGGTAATACATTTATTCAACAAAATAAAAAACCTAAATATACAAAAAATCAATTATATCTACAGGACATTGATCCAATGAACCAGACAGAAGAATATTTAAATGAGTATAATGACACTTATTATTTAGCTGATTCTTCAAACTGTAACTATTCCAGTTATTCGAATCCAGACGCTTATTATGACCAAAATCTCGAACCAAATGAAATTGATACTTTAAACTCTTATCAGTATACATAGACTCATAATGAAAATTACACTACTGAAAACGATATGCAACATGTTAACACGAACGACAATGTAAATTTTTGTATGAGACGAAAGAAACACCGACGTAATAAATATAAATTCGTTAGAAGATCAATTACCTTTCATTTTTATTCCAGAATTAAACGCACGATTTTTGATTGACACTAGCAGCACTAACAAACGAAAGCAGCACTAAAAGTTTAATTTCACCTAAAATAGCTTATACATTTTACCCAAATTATATTTTTAACAAAAAATTCTGTATAAAAACTGCACATATGTCAACTTTCCACAATGAAGCAGCTCATATACCTCTTTTTGAAATTTTTAAAGTCGATCAAACACACCAATTTTATATTTTTCAATTTAGCAAAAATTTTGACGGTTTAATTGGTATTAATTTTTTAGAACAATTAGAAGCAATTATTGATATTCGTAGAAAATTACTAATCACACCTAA